GTTAAATTGGTCTTATATATATATATTATGATTCTTATGTATATTTTTAGGGTGTCAATACTAAACTCGATGATCGATTGACCGGAAAAAAATGTCAGGTTTTGCATATAAATTCTCTGGTTCGAAAAAAATTCCAGGCTTTCCAGATGGACTCAAATCGGGTTTTGGCCCAACCTGTAAATCCAATATATATATATATATTTAAAAATAGTAAATAAAACATAAAAAATTACAAACAAATCGAGAGAATCGATCCTATCCGAGCCAGAAATCTATAAAGTCGACTTCCGTTGTGATTGTGTAGATCCGAAAAAAAATTGGACCATCCCGAACTCAAATCCAAATCTCTCACGCCTGAGTGCTGGTTTGGACCGGTACAATTGACACCCATAATATTTTTTTCAAGTGGAAAAATATGGAGTGATACGTGGTTCATATACTATAATTATCCTTCTTAAGAAGTCGTTATACCGCAAAGCTACCGATACACGCATGAATACGTGCGCCATATATATATATATAAGTGACTGTGATTGATAGGATAGTGGTAACTGCCTTCTCCATCAAACCATTTTCTGTCAATACGACCAAAGCTTGTGATTTGGAGTTATATCCTTTTACATCGTCACGAGATTGTTTTTTTAAACATTGTGTAATTGCAGAGATGACAATGAATTAGTTCTCTAACTAATATCCAAATGCAACAAATTTTGAACTAGAGACTTTGATCCTAGTTGTTGTTTGGTTTTATTTTACACGATGATGTCGTATCGATATTTTTTTTTATTTCAGTTTCATTTTATAAACTGCTACATGTGTTATGATATATTAAGAATATTACGAGATATAATATATCATGAAGATCTTATCAAATCTGAAAAATAGAAAATAGTGATTTAGAAATATTTATAAATATTCGCTTTAATCTCTAATTTACTTACTTAGTTTGAGATTTTAATTTGATTATTAATAAAAAATCATTTCGTTAAGCGTATTTTTACATGCCTTTTACGTTACTAAGAATAGCTAGACCACTATATAATTAATTTCCCGTGTCATTAACTTTTTTTTTTTTGAAATAAAGCACACATGCATATATATATATATATATATATATATATATATAACTTTCTCATGACAGAACATAATGATTGCTCGCTCTACAGAACTTTGGCACACAGAAGAGAAAAGGAATGGTAGTGGAATTGTGAATGATGGGTTAAAGGAAAGAGAAAAGGAAGAAGATAAATAATTATTTATTTCATACAACTTATATATAAAAAAAGATGTGAGGTTGGCAGCTGATTTTATAAATTATTATAGACAACAATAAGAACAACAAGGATGATATAATTAATAATTATTAATAAGAAGTTGGGTGAATGTTTTCAAGGGATGAAAATTAGTCTTTCTTCTCTGTGTAGGCCCATTGTCACGTAAACTTAAGGAAATTTATTTTAAAAAATATTTTTCTACACTGCAAATTAGAAAAAAATTTTCGAAATTCAAGCAAAGTAACGATAACGGGCCTTCAGGTCCAATAAGTTAAGCCCATAGGCCCATCCATTATCATGTGGGAAGCAAACCCTAGGGTTTATAAATTCCCAAATGCCGCTTTAACTTTGAGGGTAGACCTCCGAGTAAATTCCAGATCTCATCTCAGATAATCCTATTGTCTCCCATGGGATCCGATGGTTATCGTGTGGAAAGTTTCTCTCCTTTTTCTTTTTTTTTTCCGTGAAAATTTGGGTTTTTGTTTCCTGGGCAGCTTGAATCTTGGATAATGTGATTTGGTGATTTTAGGTCGAAGCATCTGTCTATGATTCTTTAAGCTTCTCAATGTTTTTTTGGCTCAAAGAATAAGTTCTGATGCGAAATCAAACGATTTCTTCGTCGGAGTCTATGGACATGTGGAATTTCGGGGAGTTTTCCTGTCAATTCTGGCATTTTCTCGTAGATTCCACAACTGTTTTCCCGATTACAAACCCAAAATCCAAAACCATATCGTTTAATTATCTTTTGGGCTGCTCGATGATGATTCACTTTTGCTTTAACCACACCGAAAAGATGGGGATGAGAATGGGATCTTGATCTTCTGGAATCAAATCGCTGCATTTCTTGGGCTCGGGATATCTGGATGACACTTTGATCTGAAATGCTTGAAGGGTCTTTTTCCTTCGTGTTTTGGATTTTAAGTCGATAGGTTTCTCGAGCTTTCCAAATGCAGTTTGTTTGAATCTTGAAGATCATGCCTGTTCTCAGACTTTTCTCGTGTGGAAAACTGTGGCCTTTGAACTGAGAGCATGTTTTTCCGGAAAATTTCAAAGTTTGTGCTTGTTCTTCGCTAATGCTTGATTCTTGGTTTCTTCCACTGTTGATGTCGTTGAACGAGTCTGAGAGTTTCCGGCTTTGTTGGGAATGACTTATAGTTTGCTTTATGCAGCAATCTCTTTGTTCCTGTAAGGGTTAAATTGGTCTGTTGGATTTGTGTATGAGTATGTTTCTCTGGTGTTTTTGGGTCGTTTCGTGATGATGATCTTTCCTTTTTATAAAGCCTTTTACCCACACGGATAAGGAATTGGCTCTTCTTGATTTCAGCCTAAGAAGGAAAACATGATTGACTATGTGTGTTTTTTTATTATGATTCTTCCATTTGTTGATCCACGGAGAGAACTTTCCCAAACTCTTGATGAATGCATGGAACTCTCTGGCCATTTGTAGCTGCCTGCTGAAACCAGGAATCAAGATCAGAAATCAAAACACTAAACTCATAAAGCTTAATATGTAAACCCTAAACTGAAACCAAATGTTTCCGGAAAGTTGTTGAGGCTGATCCTGATTTTCTGTTTGATTATCAGTTACCAGGAAAAAGTTTTTTGAGGACAATATAATCAGCATCATGATTTAGATCGAAGAAGGTTAAATGTGGTTCTTTCAAAGTAAAGGGGTTGAACATGAAAAACTGAAAGTTGAAGGATGCTTATACAAATTTTGAAAAGGTAAGAATGACTTCCAACCGTCGGTTGCGTTTGCTGATCTCTGCGCTAATATTTTGCCACGTGCAAATCCATAGAGATTTCAGTAGACTTGACTACATTGTATCCGTGACTCAACAATTACCTATCCAACCTCGTTCAGCTCTCTCGTCTGAACTCAGACCCCCTTGAGAGAGTCTTCGACCAGACAGGCTCCTCTTCTTCTTCTTCATCATTTCTTCTCATTCTTGGGTCTTCCCCAGGCCTTTCTGTCTTTTTTTCTTCCTTCGATCACAAAGATGGAAAACCTGACTATATTGTCTTATTCGGTTTCTTCTCCGAAGCCGTTTATGGGTTGCAATTTCTGCTCTTCTTCACTCAAAAACCCTACCGGGGTTTTCACCGGTTCCGGGAACTCGCTTCGAAGCTATAGAATTGTAGTCCGGAGTTCCAGAATCTCAGCCTCCGCTCAATCTCAGAGTCGTCAATCTCGGCCGGCGACCTCGGCAGGTTCCTGCTAGTTTTCGCTTCCAATTCGATAATCATGTGTGATTTTGTTGTCCTGGTGGAGAATTACTTGTGAAAACTTGCTGGGCATATGTATTGTAGTTGTTGGTTATATGATTCCGTGGTTGCCAATGGCTGTGTACTCTTTTCGGCTCGAATTTGAACTTTAAACCCAACAACCGAAAAAAAAAGCCAAAGCTCATCAATTGTTTATTTTTGACATCCAGATGTCTGAATAATTCCAAAAGTTTTCATCTTTCTTGCTTTGATTCTGCAAATTTTGTGTTTGCTCTTTATATTTCTCCTGTAATTGTGGACCCTTTTGTGTTCTTTGAAGCAGTTATTGTGAAACATGGAGGGAATTCTTTTGCGAGTGTTTCTTCTTCGAGTGGTGAACAGACAACATCCGTTGGTTACCCTAATGTTGCAGTGCCACCATCCTCTTCAAGCATGTAATTTGAATATTTGACTGGATTTTCTTACAAATACAAAAAAAAAGTTAATAGTTTTTCTAGGGCATGTGTGTTATAGTTTATTTATGGCTTTGCACTTGTAAGCACGCTTTTGTCTACTGCTGTAGAGGATCACCACTTTTCTGGATCGGTGTTGGCGTTGGGTTTTCAGCTCTGTTCTCGTGGGTAAGTGTGATTAAGCTTCTGTCATGGTGTCTTTAGTTTTATCTTTTATGTCTATTCCTTCTACTGTCTCAGTTTAACCTCGAAGACTAAATACAAGATCGTGTTTTCATAATCGGAATGGCAGGTAACTTCAAGTTTAAAGGTGAGTATGTTCAGTGTTACTCTTCGACGAGGTACCAATTCCTTGGCCCATTATTTTGCAAAATGTTTTGCAGCTATCGAACCTTCTAATAAATGGCACATGGTTAGGACTGTGCAAACATGTCCCTAGCTCCTTGCATTTACATTTTGCTTGTGGTTATCTGTTTTGGATTCATGGATCTGAAATGTTATTCACGAGAAATATCATGTTTCACGTAACAAAAGAACTGTGCTCGCAAGGATGTGGAACGTGATTCCTTTCACATGTCTTAGGTTGTCCTTTCTGGGCGGAATATGATTCACGCATGGAATAGTTGGGTTTAACCTACAGAAAATTCTGGTTTTCGAGAGGGAAGGATTATGGACTGCACTTTTGACATGGAAATTTGGTCGTAGGTACAGCTAGGGTATAGTTGTTGTATATAAATCGCCAATACATGCATGCATACTGCTGTTTGTTTAATTTCTTTTTCGTTTTCTTTGGTTAATTTCTTTTGTCGGTATTAAGATCCTTTATAAATATACAAGGATGGAGTAGAGAGAAAAGCAGGGAAGCATCGTAAGAATCGTTTTGGTAGATGAAGGTTGAGTGTACAAAATCAGCCTAAAGTTTCCTCTATTGATCGTCGATATATATCTGAGTTCTTCTTATCAGTCCTCGCGTAAGTGGTAGATAAGTTATTGGTCTGAAAAATTTCCGAATAAGCTGAACTAAATGCCTTTATGCTTGAAAGTTATTCTTCCTCGTTTAAACACATAGAAAGACATTCTTTGATAGCTTTATTAACCAGTGATTCCACCTCTGTTATTGCCTCATAGTCAGATTTGAATTTTACAGCTGAAATATGACATGCTGGTTCTCATCATTTTATTTGGTTTAGTGTTGATGTTTTTCTTCGGTTTCAGAAATATGCAATGCAAACGGCTATGAAGACCATGATGAGCCAGATGAATATGCAGAGCAATCAGTTTAACAATCCTCCATTTCCGACGGGATCTCCTTTCCCGTTTCCAAGTCCTACACAAATGAGCTCGGCTCCTTCACCTGCTTCGGCTTTTCAAACCCCTCCCCCGTCGTCAGCTGCTACTGTCGATGTCACATTGACAAAAAAAGCAGATGAACCTCCTTCAACGAAGCCACAACCTCCCCCTCCTTCTCCAGCAGCAACAGTAGAAACAGCTAAAGTTGAAACCGAAACAGAAACGAAGAGGGTAGACAAGAACTATGGTATGTGTTTTCCTGTTTCAAGTATCTACCTGCTTTGTTTTTCTGCCATGTCTGGCTATTTCACTTTTCTATGATCCTCATTTGAATTGCAGCATTTGTGGACGTTCCTCCTGAAGAAACCACGAAGGAAAATCCTTTCAGTAACTATGAAGATACTGAAACTAGTGCTACCAAAAATACTCAAATGTTCGAGGATGTAAGTTATAGCTGGCGGTTTTTTACATCTCAGTAAAAATCGACATTTTTCTTCCATGTAACCATGAAGTTGGGTGTTTTTTCTTTTGGGTACTGGCTCTTAGGTTTTAAAGAATGGATCTTCTGCTTCACAGCCTGGTGCAAGTGGTTTTCAGTTTCCGGGTGAGTCGACAAATTCCCATTCCTTAAATGGAAACTAAGATCAACATGGAGTTGTCTTTTCAAAATGCTAACTTCCAATTATAGTAGGTTTGCACATATAAAACAGAGGGAATTAACAATGTGCACTTGTAGATTAGCCTCCATTGAATATTTCATAATCTTGATTTTTCTCTGCTTTGCATGGCAGTCTCTCTGTTTTTTGTTCTTGGTGTATCATTCATATTTTTACTTAGTTATAAACTGCGCTTATTCAGGCACAGGGAAAGGAGGGCCTGGTTTGTCTGTTGAAGCTTTGGAGAAAATGATGGAAGATCCTACGGTTCAGAAGATGGTTTACCCGTAACATATCTTCTTCTCTCCCCTTCAACTTCAAGTGAATATATATATATATATATATATATAATTCAATAACTTATGCCGCAACTGGCTAAATCTCTCTTGAGGAAAAGATAGAAGTGTGTTAATGCTCTGTGTATCTGAATGCAGATATTTGCCCGAGGAGATGAGAAACCCGGAAACTTTCAAATGTAAGTATCATCTTCATGTTTAGTCCTATTTCTTTTATGTGGGAGTTGAAGTTTTGGCTGTGATTGTATCATGGGCATACACTGAGCTACATCTGAGTTCATGAAAATGCTTGACTTTGCTTAGCTGACAAGTAACTTATGAACAAGGGTTCTTGATCTATCGATACTAGAAGCGTTCTTGAAATTAAAAAAAAAAAATTTGTTTGGATGAATGCTCAGTTCAGTTTGTATTGTATTTCACATGCATTGGTTGGCTCTTTGGCAGGGATGATACAAAATCCACAATACCGTCAACAGCTGCAGGACATGCTGTAAGCTGCCATTTAATTACTATATGTTATTACCGTGCTAATAATAATACTGAACATGAATGGCAATGGAGCTTTTTCAAGAATCTTTACTGTGGCAAGAAGTTTTGTCTGTTATCATTTTCTTGAAACGTTCCTTGGTTTCGTTTTGAGGGGTGATAGGAATAACATGAGTGGAAGTGGCGAGTGGGACAAGCGGATGACAGACACTTTGAAGAATTTTGACCTGAATAGCCCTGAAGTCAAACAGCAATTTGGTAAGGAGCATAGTGGATGGGCTTCCCTTTGAAAATCTCAGTTACTGTAAGAATTTCGTTGATGAACTGAATTATTATTGAAAAACATGTCGGAAATATCCAATGTGCAGACCAGATAGGGATGACGCCAGAGGAGGTGATCTCAAAGATAATGGCGAATCCCGACGTTGCCGTTGCTTTCCAGAATCCCAGAGTCCAAGCTGCATTGATGGAAGTATGGTGTTTTTTTTTTTATAAAATGCTGATTCTGATTATTTTTCTTGTAAATCATATATATATATATTCTCTGGTGGGTTTTTTTTGTGGCAGTGCTCAGAGAACCCCATGAATATTATGAAGTACCAAAACGATAAAGAGGTAAAAATCTTTACATCTTCTACTCGTTATGGTTTCGGACAAGGGATGATGTTTTTTTTTTTGTTTTGTTTGGTCTCAGGTGATGGATGTGTTCAACAAGATTTCTCAGCTCTTCCCAGGAATGACGGGTTGAGTCCAGATTCCTTTCTTTTTTTTTTCCAGTCGGACAGATACCCTTATTTCATGAATCTCTGTGGTAGTTTACGCATTCAAATTAAGACATCGCCAAAAAAAAAAAACTAATTGAAATTTGGAGAGAGAGAGTCCCCGCCATCACCAACAGTAACAGACAAACAAACCAGAAGCACTCAGATGGCGGCTCATCATCACATTGAGAAGGCGAATAGCGCAAGAACCAGACCGTGTGAACTCTTTCCGGCTCTTCTGCCGGCTGTCTGACAATGCAGTACGCATATCCTATGAACTATAAGTCTTCGTTCAAAATCCAACACAGGACAGTTACAAGGACACATCCCAGCTTCTCTTCCGCCTTAACTTTCTGTGTCTTCGATGCTTCTCAGATCCCGAAGGTGCTGCAAGATTTCTTGGAGAAGGCTCACTCCTTTGTCCCCTTTCTTGACTGAACTCATGCAGTTTTTCAGAAACTCGCCGTCCGTCTCAAGTGCTTGTAATCTCTCGTACACGTTGTCTACTTGCTTGATGATCTCTAGTTTCTCCTCGCCCAAGCTTACGCTCCTTTCCATGGATTCTGGTTCTTCTTGAAACCCGTCTTCCGTTTCGTTTTCTGCTGCATCTAGAAGAGGTAGGAGACTCTTTGCCATTGATGCCATTGTCAGTTTCTCCGGAAACCCGTCGTCCCTTGCAGTCTCTGCGGATTCATCCTCTTGCATCGTCAGTAGCTTTTCTTCCAATAGTTTCAGCTGATCCATAATTGCTAACCTCTCTTCCTCAAACTCGGTTAAAGATTCGTCAAGCATGCTCACATGTTTCACGCAATCCATTGTTATCTTCTCCAAATCCATCTCCATCTCCATCTCCGAAGACTCACCCTGATCTCCGTCATCCTCGTTTTCGTCATCTACACCATCGTCATGGGTGGATTCCTTCTTCTCTCTTGCCTCATACTCCAAAACCTTCTTCCTGTAAACCTCGAGTTCTTTCTGGATCTCCTCCTTCTCTTTCTCGCGTTTCACCATCAAATCGTTCAAGAGCTGCAATGCTTCTTGATCGTACTCTGCTTGCTCCTCCATCATTCTCTGGTACTGCAACGCCTCCATTTGAACTTTGGCTTTCTCCTCCTGAAGCCTTGTTATCATCGCCATTGTCTGGTTGGCTGCTATGGCAGAAGCACTTCTTTCCTCCTCGAGTTCTGCATACAACAGACGAAGAGCCTCTCGTTCGGCTTTCACAGAAGTTGCCAGCTTTTCGATGGTCTGATACGGATCCCCACTGTCCGTATCAGTAGCTATGCCCTCATCCACTGATTCCTCAGCTGAAGATTCTCTCTTTCCGTCGAGCAAAAGCAGCTTCTTATGCAAAGAATTAAGAGTATCTCCTGAAGTCGGCGTCTCTGGAAGCTTCTCCTCCCTCTGTTCCTCTGTCTCTTCCTCCTCCTCTTCTTCTTCTTCTTGATCCTCATTTCCTTGTCCTTGATCATCATCTCCCTCTTCTACATTTTCCCCACCTACACACACACAAAAAAGCTCACCTCAGCCTTAAATATCACAGATTCTGACAAAAGAATGAAAGATGTGCCGCATGTCTGCCATAATCGATCTGCAACCCACCTGTTAGAAGAGGACAGAATCTTTCAGAGATCTTATCAATGATGAAAGAAGATTCATCTTCTGGCTTAGAATCGAGTTTCTTGGTTCCAAAAGGTTCATCCAACAAATCTGCTCCTTCTGTTTCTTCTTCGTTTCCTGGATTTTGATCACAAACCGAAAAGAACCTGTAAAAAGAAACCCATCAAACCGGCAAATAATTTCGCAACTTGGAATCTTTTTATGTACTGTACCAGGAATCTGATCTCGCCCATCTGCACATGTTGGAACATTTCCTGCATTATCATTCAGCTGAACTTGTGGAGCCTGATCCTGTTCTCTCAAGTTGATGACTCCATGGTTGGTGATTGTAGATGAATCGATCAGCTCAACTGGGATCAAACGGCCAGGATCACATGCGACAGTCTCATGATCGGACAGATCCATGATCTTAACCGAATCATCGTCCTTGAAACAAAGCTGCCCAGAAAAGTGTTGGATCTCCGAGATTTCATCCTCGTCGCCCAGAAAGTTTGTGCTTATGGATCTCAGGCCGTCTTCTTCAGACACTTCTCTAAGGCTTAAACCGTAGCTGTCGACGTCGGAAACCACTTCGCCGTTGTTCTGCTCTTGTCCCTTGCCCTCTGAGCGATCTGATTCTCTCTCTTTCTCGAATCCATCTCCGATTTTGTCGTCATCGATCATTTCCAAGATCAAAACCCCATTTTCTTTGTAACCCAGAGAAGAATCTCCCCAAGATGATGACTTGAGAAGTAAGTAATTAGGGTAGGTTTTCTTTTCCGAGCTCTTCTGGCAACAAGCGCAAAATGCGAAATTGATACTCCTCTGCGGAGCTTTATCTTCATCGCGGCCCGAGCAATCTGAGCACATTTTCATGGAGTCTGCGAATTTCCGGTGGTTTTTGCAGAAACTCAAACCGGAGAGTTGTACGGCGTGGTTCTCACATATGAGCTCCTTGTAAGCGAGTCCTGTTTCTGGGTTCCGCTCGAAGACTGGATCAAGCCTCGAGCAGAGGAGGCAGATTTGCTTGAGGCCAAAGTAAGAGGCGAATTTCACGAGAAGGTAAGTGAAAAGGGAGTGGAGGAAGAGGAACACAATGAGAAGCCATTCGAGGACGGCGTAGACTAAGATCACTGTGATTCTGTTCGTGTTTCTGCTTAGCATCGTCGCGAATCTGTTCGCCGCCATGGATTTTGTTTCTATCTTCTTCCAGCTGAATACCTGGAGTCGGTGAGAGAGAGAGGCAGAGAAGACGACGAATGATGTCTGGTGAATTAGCACAGCCCCTCTGTCTCTAGCAATGGGATTGTTTTGTCTTTTGCAATTTGGTTAAGGCTGAACCGGAATCTACAAAACCGAACCGAAATAAATTCTCACGTTCGGTTTACTGTACTCTAAAACGCTCCCGAGAGCTTTAGAAACCCATCTACTCTTAACACATTTGAATTAGGCGTTATACAAATAAATAAGGTTTTTTTTTTTTGCCGATCGTTAATTTGAAGTTATGGAGTAAAATAGTAATATGAAATTGGAAATCTTGAAAATGGAAAATAGTGGAAAAGCAAAGATAATGATGATGATGGAGGGAGCGTACCTGTCAAAGTTGCAGACTTTACGGAGGAAAAGGCTAAAAGAAAAAGTGAAAAAAAAAAGATGCCATTATTGTTTAATTGTGTGAGTATACTATGACTTCTAAGGTTTAAATTGTCTGCATACAATATAATCAATCATATATATATATATATATACACTTCAAATACAAATATTTTAATAATAAGTACTGATTTTGAAAAAATCAAATGAAAATCAAAATAAAATAAAGTTGAAAATTTCATATTGAGTGGATACAATTTTACAAAACAAATATCAAAATTTGAAAATAAAATAATTTGATGGAAATTCGGAATTTTCACTCTTAATATATGAAAGGGTAAAACCCCTAAAAAACCTTCAACTTGCAAAAATATATACAAATAAACCTTTAACTTGAAAAACTGTCATTCAATCCCCGAACTTGTAACTTGTCACTGAATAAAACCTCGAACTTGCAAATTATTGCTCTGATAAACCTTTGACCGGTTTGACCACAATTTCAAACGATCGGAAATCCACGTATTGACGGATTGCAATTCGTTAATACATGGATTTTCGATCGTCTGAAATTGTGGTCAAACCAGTCAAAGGTTTATCAGAGCAATAATTTACAAGTTCGAGTTTTTATTCAGTGACAAGTTACAAGTTTGAGGATTGAATGACAGTTTTTCAAGTTAAAGATTTATTTGTATATATTTTTGCAAGTTGGAGGTTTTTTAGGGGTTTTACCCTATATGAAAACATGGGGATTTTTGAAAGCTTTCTGAGTGTCTATTATCAAATTGAATACATGATTTTTCTTAGATTTATGAACATGCTCATGTTGTATTACAATTGTTATATAGATACAAAAAAATTAAACATAACAAAATAAAGAAAACAATGTTAAAATATATGTGGATATTTTGTAGCCGTAACCAATGGAAGATGGCATTCCAAATTCACTTTTGCTGCGAAAAAGTGGTCGTGCTTTATTAAAAGAAGTTTGGAAGAATCCATCCCTTTGGGATTCCAAACGACTTTGCGGGGGTTCACGCCAGTCACGACAGTATATATGTATAGCAACATATCTTGGGCCTTGGATCAGATAAATGGGCCGACATTTTACGACTCGTTTGTATGAAATTGTGGTATCTTGGGCCATGGGTCAACATTTGTATGGCCCGTTTGTATGAAATTAAGTGGTAACTTGGGCCTTGGATCAGATAAATGGACCGATCTTTTATGGCTCGTTTATATGAAACGGTGGTATCTTGGGCTTTGAATGAGATAAATGGGTCGAGATTCTTTTAGCCCGGAAATAAGTGGTATATTAGGCCTTTGGTAATGGGCCGATATGTTATGGCCCGTTTGTATGAAATTAAGTGGTATATTGGGCCTTGGATCCGATAAATGGGCCGACAATTTATGGCCCGCGCTTATGGCATTTACTTTTTTGGGTAGGATGTATTTTCTTCATACACCGTTTTGGGAATCGGTGGGGAATGCATCGATTTGATTTTTTCGATTTGATAAAAAATAGATACCAATCGGTTTTTATATTATATCCGGTTCGGTCCAATTTCGATTTTTATTAAAAAAATAGATTTTTTTAAAAAAAATTTGGTTTTCCGGAAATTTTTAAAATTTGGTTCGATTTCAAAAAATTCGATTTTCTAAAAATAATACCATTCGAAAATTCAGAACGGTTTGAATCGAGATAAATACAGTATTTTTTGGTTCGGTTCGGTTTGAACTCAAAGAATGAACCGAAACGCCCACCCATAACACCAATCATGAAACCGATTTCATGATGTTGAAAATATCATTGTTTCTTGAATGAGATTATGTAGACAAAAAGATAAGATATTATTATATCATCATGATTCGAAGGGATTACGTAAAGGTACAAATTAAATATCGAATCATCAATTACGTTCAAATATATTCTAAACTCTACATTTTTTTTTTGAATTTTTACACGACATATATGTTTGTCAAAACACATATTATAATGGTTTACGTGAACATATTATATATATAAATTGTAATGTGTGATATAGATACGTAAATATCGTATCATGAGGAATATATATTATATAAATTGGTCGAAAGATTAATATTCAAGACTCCAAGAAATATGAAATGTTAATGGCGTGATTTTTAAACACTTTTTTTTTAATCGTCGAGTTTGGAAAAGACGTTTTTATCCTTGGATTTTTTTAAACGAGAGATTTAATACGAAATTAGGGCCGTCCACAGATTATCTCAATGGGCCCAAGGATATGGATCTAACTTTCCGTTGGATTTTAATCTATTTAATCAAGATATAATTGGTGATCGTAAAAAAAAAACTATATTAAATAATATTTTTGAATATAAGAATATCAACATAATACACCTCTGCTACAAAAAAAAAAAATGTAAATGCATATCCAGTTGTTTTCCGTCGAATTCGAATAAAACATCATATTCCAAAACCACAACACATTTTTCATGCCACGTGCACACGTTGGTGAAAATAATGGTTTTAAACAATGAATTATTTGCACTTAAAAATGGTAAGATTTTTTAAAGATTATTATTTTGATGAAAAATCGATAAAAGTTTAAAATTTTATATAAATATATTAATATAAAAATTAAAATAATCGATATAATTATATTTATCTATCTTTTTTTTGGTAAATTTATCTATTATTTTATAGAATTTTGAAATATTCGTCGAAAAATTAATTAAGTTTCTACTTTCGCGTGTGCGTGTGTATATATGTGTATACGTAGAGGTATACGTATTGACACGTATAGATTCTGGGGAGTATATATCAGCAAATATCATATCTGGCTATCGTTGTGCGAAATATTGTATAGCGCGAGCAACGACGGGACTGAATCTCTGTATTTAGAGAGAGAAAGTAGTGAGATATAGAGAGAATTTTATTTTTTTGTGGAGAGGACAGTTTGCGAATCTGGATAGAGAGAGATTAGGGTTTGTGTCTCTTGGGGATGGAAATTCGACGAGGGGGAAGTTAGGGTTTATCTTTTCCCGTTTGGCCGATGGAGATGTTAGAGGGGCAACTTCGGATGGGTAATAATTTTTGCGACCTTCGCATGCAATTTTTTTTCCCCGATTTTGGGATTTTCCACCGATTCCTGCTATGTGTTTTCATTCAGAAATTGACCTCGATTTGCAATTGATTAGGTGGTTAAATGATTGATGGATGATGGGATTGTTTTGTGTGTTCATCTCCAGAGTTGTTAATCCAAATTTTCTGGGTTATTCTTTACGGGTTTACTCTAATTTTATCATAATCAATCTTTAGATTTACTGTTGCATGTAATATGCTTTTTCACATGTTGCTTCGATTGATTTAAATTGGAATTTTGTCAGCCGGCATGGCTAACTAATTGTTCGCATATTTTCCCAGTTGGAAGAGGAGGATAAAAGTCAGATTTTTGAGTCGTAGGAATCAATTTCGATGTACATGGTGAGACTATCGGGAATTATTCTCTTTCATTTTGGTGCTTATCCTTGTTCATTTACCATTCGAGTTTCGTAGGAATCTTAATTTTTTTCCCTCCAATGTTTTTTTCGCTGTTATATGTGCTGTATTGTGATATTTCTTGCAGGCGGATAGAAAAGTTGGTAAACGCTCAATGGGAAAGAGAGGTCGTTCAAAGATGGATTCTGGAACTTGCAATGTTTGTTCTGCCCCTTGTTCATCATGTAGGCACCGTAGCGTTGGTTTTGCGGCTTCAAAGTCTGAGGAGTCGTCAGATGAAACCTGCCATGGAATAGCAGTTAGTCAGTGTTCTGTAAATGGGGATGATGTTTTGCGTCTTTCTAGTAAAGCACCCAGCAATTCTCCTACTGCAAGTGAAGCCAGCATTCTAGTTAATACGAGTCATGATGCGCTCTTTGAGAATGCTGATAGTAAGAAAATGATAAGATCTTCTGAGGTATCCGATGATTCAGGAGCAATTGAGACGAGTTCTAAGGAATCTTCTGCTGAAATTGGTGTGAAACATAGACCACTTGCCATAGCTAATGTGTTGGATCAGAGCTCTAAATGTGTTAAAGGTCAGGAAGACAGAACAGTGGATGATCGGGCAAAAAGTTTGAATTCAGATTATCCTAATGACAGAGCAGGCAACAAGGATTCATCAGATTGTATAGCTCTTGCTTCTGACTCAGTTTTGGATGGTTGTAACAAGTACCATGGTGGCACAGAGGTAGACCCATGTAACGCTCTTCTGAAGCTAAATCACAATCTTTGCCTTATCCATCATCCAATCACGAAGACAGGAACTCTTTGGGCCTGGGAAAGACCAAGGAAAAATCAGGAGCAGAGAGTAACAGAGACAATGAAAATATAAGGATTGAAGGTTCTACACATTCTAGCCAAGACTACCAGAATGATAAGTCAGGGAAAAAGGCCAAGTTACACAAGGCTGAGGAGCCAAACTCATCGGCTATGTCTGAAAATGAGAGTGACGATTCAGAAATGGTGGAACATGATGTAAGCAATGTTGCATTTCCTAATTCCTGGAAGAATTAGTACATGAAAACATTTTTCTTTTCTTATGTTTCTTCTGGTTCTGTTTCCTTTTAGTTGCAAGTTTTGCATCTAATCTTCCAGTTACAAAAGTCTTGAGTCAAAATCGTTTCCTTTTTGTTCTATAGGTAAAAGTTTGTGATATTTGCGGAGATGCGGGTCGAGAAGATTTGCTTGCTATCTGCAGTAGATGCAGTGATGGCGCAGAGCACACGTAAGCCTGCTCTTTTATTCATGGGAAAGAAATGATGAAGTAACTTTGGATGCTGGGGTACCCCGTCTTTTTAAACTAATGGAAAATTTACATTAGGGATTTTTCTTGAAAGTTATTAATATTCTTATTTGATTTTAGTTTAGCATAGTTGTTTATTTACATTATTCTGTAGTTTTTCGTAATTAGTTAGCTTCTTTGCTGTGTTAATCATGTAGTTGTGTTTTCATTCACTCAGCTATTGCATGCGGGAAATGCTTGATGAAGTTCCTAAGGGTGATTGGCTTTGTGAAGAATGTAAGTTTGCCGAGGAAGCTGAAAAGCAGAAGCTAGGTAAATCTGGATAATTTACCGAACATGACATTGATGCAAAAGATTAATGAGATATCACTGCGATCAAATTTGGCACTAAGATTATTCTTCTCTGTTTTGTCACTTGAACTTGAAACATTCAGAGGCCAAGGGAAAAAGGGAAACTGAGGTGAACTTGAATGTACAAATTCCTGGCAAAAGGCGTGCTGAAAAGGCTGAGGCTGCGCCAGATGCTAAAAGGCAGGCAATCGAGGCTTCAACAGTTTCACCCAAAAAATCCGTTCTCCCCAGAATAGCTTCATTATCTCGAGAATCATCATTCAAGGGCCTAGACAAGACAAAGAGAAAGCTAGTCCATCAAGCATCTTTCACCAGTCTCTTGAGCGGTGATGCTGAAAATACACGCTCTACTGGTTCACAGCTCCAATCCCCTAAAGGTAAGCAGTATGATGTCTCCCCAAGTGCATTTCGAGCTTGTGTCTTTTTTTTTTTGTGGTGATTTTGCAGCTTGTATAATGTCACCTTGTTTTTGCTTGTACAGGTACTTTCTTCAAATCCAATTCATTCAATGCCAGTTCGAAACCAAAAGTGAAACCCATAGATGAAGTTGTTCTCCCAAGACAAAGATCCGTGAAAGAACATGTCTCTCTTGATATGAAGGAGGGGGTTTCTAGAACTGTAGCCAAGTCAATGTCAATTAGATCCTCAGAAGTAGGGTGTTTGATTAGTAACGATTTAAAAGGAAGAGC